TGTGATATATTTGATTAGATTTTTAGTAGATATATTCCAACAAGATTTTGAGAGAAAATATCCACCATAATTTTGCTATATATTAGGAAAAATAACAAACAAAAAAATAATTAGTAAATGTATTAAAATAATTAATATTTTAATTTAATAATAATTATTTCGTAATTAAGTATATTATTTCGTAATTAATAATTATATTTTTAAATTAATTATATTAGTTTGTTTGAAATTGATATATATATATATATATAATTGACATCGATTATGATAATCCACACAAATAATAACATCACTTTTACAAACTGATAGGAAATATAGTATCATTTTTGAAAATTGACTTATTATTAATATCAGTTATAAGAACTGATACAATTTTTTTTTTTTTTGCATCAGTTGATTAAAAACTGATGTGATTTATTTGCATCGGCAATATAAGTATCACTTTTATAAGTGATGTAAAATTTCATTGTATCACTTATAAGTAATGTAAAGTTACAAAATAAATGATTCAATCCACTCATTTTTTTGTAGTGTACATTACTATATACATATGTGATATACTAGAAGGAGAAATATCGTATTAGTTACGGATTCTTATATGCAGATCGATGTTGGTAATTAACTCTAATAATACAAATTATACAGCATAAGATATATGTAAATTAATATATAAATTTAAGGGTATGAATATATTATTATCAAAGTCCAATAGCGTTTCATGTTACCAAATGAACTAACATCATTGGAGGAAACATGCAATATCTTTTATTTGTCCCCATGAAACTGTCTTCTTACTTTATCTTCTTCTATTGACTTCTTCTCCTCTCTTTGATTGTGTATTATTAAGTTACTAACAGTATCTTTAGAGAAAATCGAGATTTTAGTTTAGATTAAACTAATCACTTATAACATATCGGATGAGTGTTTGTGGCGACTTGAGTACTCTAAATGGTGCATTGGTATAAAAGAAATGTGGACGAAAAGGATTGTACTGGACCACTTAAACCATCATTATTGGAAATAATGTGTGGTTTATATGGTTAATACGTTGCCTTAAACATTTGCTAATCGTGATTAACAACTTTTGAGATGTCTTTGTGATTTTAAACAGAACACGTGTAAGGCATCTGAATAATATATCTCCATATATGCAACTGATCAAACTACTGAAAGTAGTACCAATGTACTATATAATCTAGCAAAAATAAAATAAAATAAAATAAAGTA